GGGAGAGGAGGGGGGGACATAAAATGGGGAAGGGGTCTAATTACAAGGTAGCATATATAGGCAAAGATCTGCCAGCATTTAAAAACCCTTAAACAAAGAGGCTTCACTGGTTACCCACTTGGGAATCCCTCCCTATGAGGGAGTTTGTATATGCTTTCAATAAATTTCCACACTTCTTTTGTTTTGTTTAAAGTATTACATATGTCTTATTTTTCCCCGATTGACCCCCCCCCTCCGCCTCTCTCACCCCCCAGGACGCAAGCCCCCACCACCCCAGTTTGTGTCCATTGGTTATGCTAATATGCATGCATACACGTCCTTTGGTTGCTCTCTAACCCCCTTACCTCCCCATTTTACCATCATTACTCTGAACTCTGTTTCAGATAAATTTCTTATCTCTGTTTCATTTATCCCATGCAGTGGGCTTTCCTGTTGTTCTGTTGGTTTCCTTTGCTGTGCAGAAGGTTTTTATTTTGATGTGGTCCCATCTGTTCATTTTCTCCTTAGTCTCCATTGCCCAGGAGAAGAGCTGTGTGGGTAAAGATATTGCTGACATGTTTGCTATTTGCTGCCTATGGAGTCTTATAGGATTTTTATGGTTTCCTGTCTTACATTTACTAGTAAGTCCTTTAGCCATTTTGAGTTTGTTTTTGTGTATGGTGTAAGTTGGTGATCTAGTTTCATTTTTTTGCATGTATCTGACCAAATTTCCCAGCATCATTTATTAGAGAGTCTTAACTCCATTATATGCTCTTGCCTCCTTTGTCAAATATTAACTGAGCATAATGGCTTGGGTCAATTCTGGGTTCTCTGTTCTGTTCCATTGGTCTATAGGTCTGTTCTTGTGCCAGTACCAGGCAGTTTTGAGAACCATGGCTTGGTAACACAGCTTGATACCTCGTATTGTGATCTGCCTACGTCTATTGACTGGAATATTTAACCCATTTACATTTAAGGTTATTATTGATAGGTACTTATTTATTACCATTTTAATTCTGTATGCCTAGGTGTCTCTATTTCTTCTTCTCATCACAGCAGTCCCTTTAGCATTTCTTGTAATGCTGGCTTGGTGGTGATGTACTCCTTTAGCCTTTTATTGTCTGGGAAGCTGTCTGTTTTGAATGATAGCCATCTGAATGTGGTAATCTTGGTCTCAGATCCTTGGTTTCCATTACCTTGAGTAATTTGTGCCATTACCTTCTGGCCTGTAGAATTTCTGATGAGAAATCAGGTGTCAGCCTTATGGGAACTCCTTTGTAAGTTTGCTTTGCTCTTGCTGCCTTTAAGATTCTCTCTTTGTCTTTAATTTCTGGCATTTTAATTATGATGTGTCTGGGTGTGGGCCTGTTTGGGTTCTTCTTGCTTGGGGTTGTCTGTGCTTCCTGAACTTGCGTGACTTTTTCCTTTACCAGATTAGGGAAGTTTTCTGCCATTATTTTTCAAACACATTCTCAATCCCTTTCTACCTTTCTGACTCTTCTGGCACACCTGCTATTTGAAGATTGTTACGTTTTATGTTGTCCCACTGCTCCCTTGAGGTGTCCTCTTGTTTTGTTTTTTCTTTTTGGTTCTATGATTGATTTTTCAACTCTTTCTTCTAATTCACTGATTCAATCCTCAGCTTCCCCTAATCTTCTGTGTATTCCTTCCAATGTGTTCTTTACTTGTGTTATGTCATTTTTTATCTCAGACTGTTCTTTTTTCAGTTACTATATTTTTTTTCATACCGTTGAGCATTTTTACCATCATTACTCTGAACTCTGTTTCAGATAAATTTCTTATCTCTGTTTCATTTATCTCTTCTTCTGGTGACAAGGGCTACACATATTTTGGGCACAGCCCTTTGAAAGACAAATGTACCAGGAGTACTTTCTCCCTTTCTGTGACCGCCTTTGAACTTTCTTAATTTTCCTAACTCTTTCAAAGACTCAAGGCTTTAAATTGTGGTGAAGTCCCATTGATCGATTCTGTCCTGTGTGGGTGGTGCCCTGGTTGTCCCGGTGGAGAAAGCTCCCAACCAGTGCAGTGAGCTCAGGTCTCCAGGAGGCTCAGCTTCATGCCACAGGAGGTAGTTAAGTCCTGGGGGAGACCCACTCTTCCAAACAGACATCCAGCTACTGCAGTACAATTTTTGGGGAGAAACAAACAAACAACCCTTCCCTTTCCTTTCCCACAGAGATATCTTGGCCAGTCTCTATGGGTCTGTCCTGGACTCGATGTGCACGTGTCTGCAGTGAGTCCAGGAGTCAGGAGTGGGAGCTCCACCAGCCTCTTTGTCAGAACTGCCCTGCTCTGAGATCATTACATCCAGGAGGTCAGCTGAGATTTCACTGCCTTTGGGTGCCCAGGCCCAGTCTCCAGGTTAAAAGCAAGACTTAGGAGAATCACGCACAATCCTCGGCAAACCACCATTCTCTGTGCCGGAGTCCAGCCTCTCGGGGCTCCTGCTCCTCCCCTGCACCCTCTCCAGCACCCGCTTCAGCAGCGGCTCGGGGCTGCTGTTCCTGAGGCTATGGCCCTCGTGCACCACCAGCTCCCGTGCAGACTCTGCAGGAAGTCAGAGCCCACAGGCTGGCTTTCCTGCTGGCTGCCTCCCCGCACCGAGACCTGTGCCTGGCACAGGGCGCTGTCAGCATGATTCCTGGGGCCCAGTCGATGCTGCAGCACAGGGCACATCCACGGTGCTTCCACGACATGAAGCACCAGCCGCTGGACACAGGGGAGCGTGAGGCGATGCCCCTGCATTAAAACAGGAGGACATAGAACCACAAAGGCCAAACACGGTGACACTCCAGTCCGGGGCTAAAACTGACTGCCAGACGAGGGCAGGGATGGTCCAGCTGCAGCCCTGCGGTCTCCTTGCTGCCCAGCCAGCTGCTCGGAGCTGGTCACAGTGAACCCTGACCAGTGTGGGACACCAGGTCCTCCCACACATCTGCTGGTCTGAGCAAATCTCTAGCCCCAGAAGCTGAACCAGCAGAGGCTAGACAGCCCCTCACAAGCCCAGGGACACCTGGGGTCAGGAATCATCCTACGTGGCTGAGGCCTTACCTTGGCATCCAGCAAGTAGTTGTAGGGCATGAAGATGATGTCAGCCTGCTGCTTCAGATTCCGGGACAGGTAGTATGGGCACAGCCTGGGGCACAGGGGGAGGACATGAGCCTCACATGGCTGGGGGTTCAGGACATGCATCAGCAACCCTGGGCCGCAGTCTGAGGCTGGGCTGGATGCTGCATCCTCTGATGGGCACGGGGGTGGGGGAAGTGGAACATGTGTTCAACTCTGGGAGTGGATAACCTATTTATAAACTTACAAAAACAAGAAAACCCCAGCCCTGTTCTGAGTAGACCGGTGAGGGACTCAGAAACAAACAGTCCTGTCTCATCACAGCATGGAGCCCTGATGCTCAGAAGTTTCCAGCGACCATCACAGAAGCGGCAGGTAAGCGTCCAGTGGAGGGCTGAGCCCAGGACAGGAGGGTCAGCACCACGCCCCTTGGCCCCCCAAATCCAGACCACAGGAGCACAGTGGGCGGTCCGCTCCCCAGCAGTCACTAGCCGGCTGAGTGCAGGGAAGGAGGGCAGTTCCATTTTTCTCTCTATTCCTCCGAATCGTTCATGTTTTTTATACTGAACAACTGTTAAGTTTCATGATTAAAAGATGAAACAGGAAAGAAAAGAAATGTGTGTGTCTGCAGGCAGCGGGAGGTCCCAGCCTGGAAGGCTGTGCAAATGCGACCTGAAGGGAGGGACTTACTTGTGCCTGTTCCCACTCTTGACCAGGTCCTCGATGTCCAGGATGGGGGTGGCCAGGTCCTGCTCCAGGCTCTTTTCTGGGGACACAGACAGGAGTAAGCACACACCCTTTGGTCCTCTGAGTCCCCTGACCTCAGGATGGAATAGCTCCTACGAAGTGGCAGAAGGTGTGGTCACCCCAAGACGATCCCTCAGGGCAGGACTGGGGTGCCCAGCCACCTGGAGTCTCACTGGAGAGAATCCTTGACCAATGGGTCTCAGGGCTCCCAGGGAGGGTTCTGAACCTGAAGTGACCCCGAGGGAGCCCTGCTCTGCACCCCAGCCTCCCAACTTGGGGCACAGCAATTTGCTGGGAACGACTCTAACCCAGGGAGGCCAGGGCCCTGGCTGGCAGGACCAGAGGTCTGTGACAAACACCCAGAGTCTCGGGACAGCCATATGTGGAAACAACCTCTGGCTCACGGCCCTCCTGTGGCAGGTATCAGGCCAGCCCTAAAGTGCAGAGGACAGAACACACTGGGCCTTCATCAGTGACACAACCCCAAAATGCCCCCAGGAACAGCAGGCGAGGGGGAGGAGGAAGAGCCATCCACTCCACAGCGCCATAGCAACCAATCAGTAATCCGCAGTGCTGGGTGGCAGGCCAGCCATCAGCTCAGCGACCTGATGAGGGGGAAGCAAGGAGGGCACCCCAGGCTGACTGGTGAGGAGACGCTACATGTGCCCCTACCCCCAATGCAGGCTGGGCAGGTTCCAGCTCTGCATCTCTCCTTCCTCCCACACAAGCCTCCCCTCCTCCCAGGCCCCCCTGGCCTCTCCCCACTTCTCTCTCCCTTCCAAGGGCCGTGCAGCTGCTGGAGACACCCTCACATCCCATGGGCAGGGGCAGGGGAGGCTGAGCCACAGCAAGGACGCTCACGTTTATGGTGAGTAGACCCAACAGCACAGGCGGCAAGAGCTAGGCAGAGCAGGTGGGCTGGGGACCAAGGAGGAGACATGAAGCCCAGAGCCAGCAGGCCAGCTGGGGCGGCCTCCCTTGCCTGCCACGCAGGACCTGGGGCAGTGGGGATGGGGCCGCAGCCCACGGGCCAGCACACACCGAGCTGGCACTGCCTCTGCCGTGAGCAGAAAGTTCCTCTCAGTTCCCACCCCTCCTGACCTCCTCCCCTCCCTGCTCAGGGACCCTCCAGGGAGATGGGGGCCGTGCAGGTGAAGGACCCAGCAGGTGAAGGCTAGGCCAGCAGAGAGGGTGAGCTGACCCATTGCAGCCGGGAAAGGTGGCTGGAGTGGTCCCCATCCAGTGCTGCTCCAGGCTCTGGCAATGGCACCTGCACCCCGTCTCCTTTACCAGGGATGATGTGGACAGGGAGGCAGCCCTGGGGGACAACTCCATTGACCTTCATGGGTACAGTGCCAGGGCCCATGCAAGGCTGGACTGAGGTGGGCAGGCTGCGAGCAGAGGGTACACCAAACAAAGGGGAAGAACACCTCCCGCGCAACAATACCCACAGCCGGAGCAGACGCAGGCAGCAGAGCAGGCTGCACTCCGCTGGGCCACGCCCCTTCACTGCCTTCCCCAGTGTCCTCATTGCCACCAGACCCCAAACCAGCAAACAAAATTGGGTGAGGAGCGAGTTCCAGGAGCTTGGGTTTCAGGCCAAGCTCTGCAGGAGACGCCCGAGGAGGGCCTGAGCCCATGCCCACATTGGGCACACACTCCATCCGTCTCTCCAAGAGGCAGGGCACAGGGACACCGAATGGGGGAGTGGGGGCCTCCGGCACAGGCCTCTGGGAGCAGTGCCGTTCTGACCCTCTTCCAGCAAGGCCCACACACTGGGCACTCCACACCCGGACAGACGGTGGCCGCTAATGCCTGGAGAGTGCTCTGAGCCCATGTCACCTCTGGGTTAGGGTCTGAATTTCAACCCTGAGGCAGGAAACAGAGGGAACCTCGACCTCCCCCCGCCCCCTACGCCACAGAGCCCTGACCACAGCCAGGAAACTGGAAGCCACTCCGGAGGCTGTCCCGCCACCGCCTCTGGAAGAAGCCCGACAGACAGGAGGGGCAGCCCCAGTGGAGAAACAGATGTGAAGGTGAGAGTACTGGTGCCGACCCCTGCACTCTGGGCAGCAAAGTCAGCAACAGGAGACGGGCTTCCCAGGCCACGGGCATCTCCGTCACACACATCAAGCCGTGCCAAGGCAGGCTGCTGCCACCAGCCCTGGGCTCATTGCTGCACTCATCTCTGCATGAAGCATTCACCTCACAGCACACAGGCTGGAGTTGCTGGGACTCGAGAGGCCACACCCACGCTGTGACACATCGCAGGTTAAGAACACACTGCAAACTCCCCCAAAGGGAGAAGTACGCAGAGGGGTCCGGGAGCCCAGACACAGTTTCCAGAACCCTCCCCGCCACCTCCCCCAGAACGAGCTGCGGCAGACTGCGGAATGCTGCGCCCGGGAAACCCACCAGGCGCCCGGTGCCTCGGCTTTTTCCTGGGGTCACCCAGCGCCAGACTCCCAGAGGGAAGTGGATGCTCAGCAAAACCCACATTGTTTGCCAACAGTTTACACTCAGGGAGCCCCTCCTATCGGGGGTGGTGGGGACACGGGGGACCAGCCTTGCCAGCACGCCTTTCTGAGATGGCAGCCTCAGGCCCACATGTGGTTCATCTGCATGCGACCCAGCAGAAGTCCGCAGTTAGGAGCAAATTCTGGGCACCTGCCTCACCAAGCTGAGTCCCAAGGGGCAAGAGTCATCAGGCCGTGAGCCCCGAGCCCAGCCCCAAGGCTGCACGTGCTCTCCTCCCCACTGCTGTGTGCTGATAATCTGCAGGAGCAGCCCCCGGCCCCTCTTACCTTCTACGTTGTTGTAGAAATGACAGGAGCGACTTGCCACCTTCTTGCGGCACAGGTGGATCTGGGAGGGAAAGGACATGTGGTCCCAGCTTGCGTGATGGCCAAGAAAGGGCAGAGCACTGGGCTGGCCAATGAGTCTGCTGCCGATCGTGGGAGCCCTGTTCCAGCCAGCTCCACCCAGCCAGTTCTTCATCCTCTATCCCCCACCCTGGAGCACAGTGAGGGCTCTGAGAGCCGCAGCACCACCTCGCACAACCAAAGAGGACAAGCGGGCAGCCCAGGAGCCCACCTGCATGTGGTTACTCTCCTGCTTCTTCACCTCGGGGTGGATACACAGCTGCTCCCGGGAGCCCAGCACACACACCCTGGGCCTGGGAAGAGAGAATCGTGGGGCCCAAGAATGACAGGGCAATAGCCCACAGTGCTGCCCAACAGCCTGAGCTGTGTGGGCACATATGGGAACACCAGGAAACCTGGTTCACGTAGGCAGCCAGAGGGAGTGGCCATGGCCAGAATATCCCAGGCTTGGGAGAGGCTTTCTCCAAGGGGCCGGGGTGAGCAAGAATCCAGAAGCCCAGACTGGGACTGGCAGAAGGAAGGAGACTCGACAGCACCCACATGCTCGCTCACAGGGAGGCAAGTGGGGCAACAAGACTCCTGCAGCTCTGCTACTGGACCTGGGCAGAGCCTCCTCCCCTCACAGGTGCAGCTGCGATGGCCACACCACGGCTAACACGGCAGCGCCTGCAAGGAGCTCAGGGTGTAGACCAAGGTCAACATGTAGTCAGAGCTGCTTTCTCACAAGCAGTGGGCATCGGAGACCGCCCAAGTATGCACCGAGCACAGCATGCCCTCAGGCTCTGTCAAGGCACAACACTGTCGACCACCGCGTTGAGGCCATTCCCCCCCAGTTCTGCGGCAGGGTGAACGCTGCCTGACCCACCGGTAGGACGTGTTCCGAAGCTCGCCGATGACCTGTGTGAGCTGCGAGTGGGTCCTGGAGGCGTAAATGACCTTTGGGATGTCCGCGTAGCAAGCTGCCCAGGCACAAGGAAGCAGACAGGGCGTGGCTCCATGAGACAGAGCTCTCATGTGCTGTTAACCCAGGGGCACTCAGCCAGCTCAGCACTTCAGACAGCTAAACGTCAGATACCTGGTATCATACCAGGAATGGGTGAGGTGGGCATCTGCAATGTCCTAATACAGCTGTAAGGCTCTGACCCTAGTTTGCAGCCAGGATGGCGAGAGGTAACGTGGCAGCTACAAAACTGCCTGCTCACTGCACTCAAGAGCCTCGCCTGTCCACTCCGTCCCTTCCCCCCTTCCTTCCGTCCCTACATTCGTGCGGGAGGTGAGGCCAGGGGCTGACCTGTGGCGTCTCCCTCTGAAGCAGCATTCCCCCAGGAAGACAAGGGGCGATCGAGGAAGAGATCCCCTTGGGTCCTCTCAGCAATCTTGCGGGCGGAGATGGCATCACGGAGGTGCTCCCGCCAGGCCAGCGTGCTGCAGAGCAGGCACAGGGTCTTTCCTGTGCCCGTGGGACTCTCCAGGACGCCGTTCACTTTCTGAATGGGAAAGCAGGGGTGAGGTGAGGCAGGCCACACTACCCACCTGAGACAGGCCTGCAGCTCTGCTCAGGCAGAGCGTACCCACCAGGTGGCAAAAGTCCCAAGGGACACGGGACTGTGGAAAATCCCATAGGACTACTTCCACTCTCAGACCATGAGGTCAGGACGGCCCTTGTTAGCAAACAATATGCAGAGCATTTTCCAGCCTCATATAAAGAGCAAGGTGACAAATTAGGTGCCACGTCTCAAAATAGGAGCTTGTTCTGCGATTCTGGATCCAGGCTTTCACATTGGACGGAACCTGGTGGCCTAAATAGCTCTCAGATGGGAGCTTGAGCGGGAAACCTGGGCGACAGGAAGGCAAAGCTGTGCCAGGTTCCTCGCCACGAGTGTCTGCTAAGAGCAGCCTGGACACTCCTGTCCAAAGAGCAGCAGCCTCGCAAGCAGCCCACCCCCATCCGAGGAGTAGCAGACTTGCAATCAACCTGTCCAAGTCCAAGGAGCAGTAGCCCCACAAGCAGCCCAAGACATCAGAGGAACAAGGGCAGCGTGCAGCCAGCCCCCATCCAAGGATCAGCAGCCACGTGAGCAGTACACTCCAGTTCAAGGAGTAGCAGCTGTGTGAGAAGCCCACCCCCATTCAAGGATCAGCAGC